GAATTCACCCTGAGCTGGAAAACCAGAGAGCTTTCCGAGACAGCACAAACCCGAACGAACCACAAAGCCTGCTTTAGAGGTCCTGAAGGCTGACCGCACGCGCCGTGGCAGGCTCAGCAGAGCCCAGCGCCGGCAGGAAGGGAGCAGCGCAGGGGCTGCAAAGGGGAGGTGATGGGGAAGAGAAATCACGCATGCGGCTTACGCGTTTTTCCCCCTCTAAGAAGTTAACGTTAGTAATTTTATTAAATAAACGCGGCCTGGAGCGAACAGTGTTGCAGTTTTAGGATACAAGTTGTTCATGCCTGCGGGAAGTGAAGTTTTGCTATAGCTTACGCTCCTGATAAAAGGGAATTAAAGGCAAAGCAGTACAGTGGGAAGACATCTGCATGCGGCAGGGCAAGAGATCCCCTGCACGCACATGGGGAGCACCATGAATGAGGGAGCGGGCAGCTGCTCGTGACTACGAAGTGACCAATATTCAGTCTGCAGCAAGGAGCTCACCTTTCCTTTCCAGGTGCTCAGCAAGGGTGCAGGCATTTGGAAGAAGGTACTGGAGGGTAACATGCAAAAACAAGAGGGAGGCTGTGAGTACCCAACCTGTTACGCTTCAGGCTGACACCAAGGCACTCTCCCAACCATCAGCAGTTCCTCTGCCAAGGCACACTCAAACCCAAGCACCCTCTACACCTTTGCTTCCCATTTCTTGTCTCCATTGGAATTATATTTATCTTCCAGGCATTGCTCTTCTTCCTTCCACACCTTCTGGATTTTCAATGCTGTCCCTGTTCCAGGTACTCCTGGGTGCCTCTCAAATCCCTGCAACTACAGCATCAACACTGACTGATGATTCATGTCCTGTCTCACTTCTCCAGCCTGCTTCATCAGGCTGGCTAATTACAGAAGCTGAGCCTTTTGCCTTCTGAACCTCTAGACTGCATGTGATTATTCCTCTCAAGCATTTCTTAGAAGTGTGTGGAAAATAAGCCGCTGTTTCGTGGTTTTTTTTTTCTTTTAATTAAAGCTGAGATTTCAACATAATGAAAGAACTTGAGAAGCCATTTTCAGAAAAACCTCCTACAGGACAGTCTTTATTCTTACCTCTACTCACAGCCACTACACACTTCCTTTCCCACTACTTTCTCCCTCCTTTTTTCCATTCCCTAGGAATCTGACACAGGGCATCTGTGGCAATGTATGTAAAGAAATCGTAAAGTTCTGCCAAAATGGCCACGTGGCACCAAGGAACAATGGGCAATGTGACAGCGTAATGGGACATCATGGAAACTGCAAGTTCCGGTTTTATTTAGAAAGGAAATGAAATGCAAATCTCCTCTGAGATGCTCATACTGCTCAAATTGGGCTTGAGTGCAATTGATGTTTCAGTTATGATCTCAAGGTGTCGTTCCACAAGACAGGATGAGCCAACCTAAAAGCCTACTGTCCCTCAGGGGGCCGTTCGGCCCCTACCCTCTCCCTGTCCACATGCTCCCACTGCTTTCCTCCTGGCTGGCACTCGTCCTCGACAGTGGCAAAATTCAGCTCCCTGAGCAGCACAACCACCACCAGCACCCCAAGGAAAAAAAATAAAGAAAAAAAAAAAAAAAGAAAAATGTTTACAACTCGGACAAGCATCAGTCTCAGCAACGGGCTGGGGCTGGGACCCTGTGGACCGATGGGGGAAGAGATGAGACAACACGATGAGCCACATCAGAGCCGAATCATCAGAGACCACCCAGAACGATGTAGTTCGGATTTTTGTTGGCCAGATCAGCTCCTTGCTCTGGTTTGTTGTGTTGCAGAAACAAATGGCTGGGAATGGGAGAGTCAAGGGTCCACAACCAGAAAGAAAACGGAGACTGAAAAAGAGTAAGCCCCAAACATGGCCTTCCCCCGTCTCAAGGCAAGCATCGCCTCTTGCCTCACCACTAGTCCCAGCTGCGTGCCCGGTGCTATAACATTACTTTTTTTACCTCCTACCACCACTGTTCCTGTAAGCATTGAAGCTATGGCTCCATACTCATGAACAACTTGCAATGGGAAAGCCAAAAGGTTTGCAAATTTATCTGACTTATATTCTGTGCGTTTCAATCGCACCTATTAAATTTCCACAGCAGCTCGACTAAGAGAAGCATGAAATATCTATCAGTTTCCTATGTACAGATTTTTAAGAAAAAAGTTTCTGCAGGATGAATACATAGTACGTATTCAGTGCACAGCACTGAATTTGATTACACTGTGTCAGATGCACATTAATGAATAATGCAAGGATTAAAAAAAAAAAAAAGCTAAAATCCAATGTGTAGGATATCCTTGCAAAGTTTGATACCTCACTAACATTACCCCTACTGCAATCATTTAGTTTCTAGCTTAAAAAGAGGATGTTTTAACCAGAGGGATGAAATACAGCCAGAAAAGCTAGGATACTCCACCAGGAGAGGAAAACTGAGGACTAGAGACTGAGGATGGAGCACATCGGGACATCTGCAGACACGCCATGGGTACAAGGACCTGCTCAAGCAGTACCTACTCATTACACTCTCCCAGGTTGACAGGGCCCCTACACACACGCAAAAGAGCAGAAGGTCAGGTGCTTGTGATCAGGTTTTTGTCAAAAACAGAGGTATCCATGGACAGACAAACAGGTCCATGTGCTTGCTGCTGAAATGCCAGCTATTGTTTATTTGGTACGCAAGCCCTCTTGTGAGCCTGGCCAAAGAACCCAAGCAGCACCAAAGGCTTTTTGTGCTAGGTGCAATAGAAGTAGCAGTGAAAAAAACAGTTCCTTCCCCAGGCAGCTCACAGTTTAATGAAAAAATACAAGCAAGTGGGAAGAAAGGAAAGGATGAGAAAGCCAGGATTAACAGCTGGTCACACAAACACCTGGATTTAGGAAACAGGTGAACGAGGGACGGTTGTTTCCAGTGAGCTACCCCAGGAATCTGTCCAGGTCTCACCGCTTTTCAGATGCTGTTTCTTTCAGTTCACTGTTGGTAAAATTTGAAACACTCAGTTGTATAGTTGTAAATAACTTAGATCAAAGTTGATTACTGAGCTAGGGGAACTCACTCACATGCCTGAACACACCGTTAGGAACAAAGACTGCTGGCTACCTGCTCTGGCTCCATCTTTTTCCTAGTGTCATTCCTCTCCCAAACGCTACGTGCTGCTTCGCATGGATGACCAACAGAGCAGGGACTCCCGGGCAAAAGGAGAACATCAGGCAGAAGCAGAATGACTGTGCTCCTCCTGTGGACAGCATTAGCGAGACCATCGCTGAAACATTGCATCCATTTTGGGCAAAAGGAGAACGTCAGGCAGAAGCAGAATCACTGTGCTCCTCCTGTGGACAGCATTAGTGAGACCATCGCTGAAACATTGCATCCATTTCCACCGTCATGCTTCAGAAAGGATGTTTACCACAAGATTTTATATGAACTCAGAAACTAATGCTGTAGTAGTAAACAGCTGTAGAGAGAATGTCAGTCCATTTATCTATGAGAAAATTAAGGGGCAACTTGGCTCAAAACTACACCAACTACGTTTACTAGACAGAGACAGCCGACAGCAGGGAGGTCCTTCACGTAGAAAACAAAGATGTTCAGACATCACTGGCTGGGATCTGATGATCTTTTGGAACAATTTACTTATCAACATAGTGGCTTCTCTATCACTGAACTCTTTACATGAAGATGAATCTTCTTCCCAAAGCCAAGCCACATCCCGAACAGATATTTCTAAAGCAGAATTTGCTGTCATGGAAATGATCACACTAGATAACCCTTTTCAGTCTTAATAGCTATAAATTACTATTATTTCTATCATAATTAACTATATTCCTCTGTGCATCATCAGATCCATCATGAAACTTGGATCCCTAGGCATCACACAGATGCAGCAAAGCAGCAATGCAAATGTGTAACACAATAATTTAGTCCACCAAACCTCTGCAGCAGGAAAAAGGCAGTAGTAGCAAAAAGACTGCTTATCTAAAGAACTCCAGAATGACCACCACCAGCAAAAAAGTTTCATCTTAATCTCTGCAAACTAAAAGTCAGAAAAACACAGCCAGCCCACCTCGCTACCTGTGTACAAGCACAGAGAAAAAGAGGCAGAGAGAGAAGGGCAGAGATACAACCGTGGATAATCACAAGACATTTTATTTAGAAAGTCCTCTTTCACTGCAGGTCAACACTTTTCCTTAACCTGGCACTAGGACTTTCAGACTGAGTAGGTATCGCACTTCAATTCTAGCACAGACTGCTAATGTACCATTTTTCTAGCACAAAGTTCTGGTAGCTTAGTAAAATGTTACCTTTATTTGGGTAGAGGGAGAAAGTTGAAATAACAGGCACACATACAAGTACCTTTATGGTGAAGAGGCTTCCGACAGCTGAGGCACTCTGGTCTAGGAGACTCCTCTGCCACCACTGCAGTTAGCTCACATCAGCTGCAGAAACAGCATGACCCAACAGCAAAGGTTTGCTGCTCTCCATTTTCTCTCCTCTCAGGGAGAAGGCATAATATAAAAACCACAAACACTTGTGTCTTAGCGTTTTGTGTATTTTAACAGACTCAGTTCAATAACTTAAATGTTATTTTATTTGTCATACACTATTGTGTCTTTAAACTCCTTCTACATTCAAGCTACTATTCTACAGAGATCTGAGTTTTCCTACGAGGACTGAAAATGCCATCACATATAGGAGCTTCCTCCAAGCTACTGACAGAATCACTTGCATTTCCCCGTCCAACAATTTGAAACTACTTTCTTACAAAAATACTTACTCTTTAAAAGCTTTGCTTATTTCAATCTTAAATGACTCCTGAGATAATGGGCGCTTATTTTTTTGAGACTGCCCTAAAATATTTGTCCAAAAATAGCATAAACATTATTAATGCAAACAGCAAAGCTGTTGTTAAAAAAGGTTTTATTATGTCCATCTGGGCAAAACTTTCTTTCCTGTCCCTGGCGGCAGTCCATCGCCACATGTCCCAGGCAGTCACGCAGTGGTGCCAGCTGTGGCTGGGTGCTGCTCACCTCCTGTCTCCAACGGGGTGTCAGGTGGGCTTGGCTGTCCCCCGGCCCCCGATTTCACAGCGTGCATCGCATAGTTAATGCTCCTGCTTTCCACCCAGCTCCACGACCCCGAGAGGGGATTATACAGCATCCCATTCACAGTCTCAACTGAAAAGCCATCTAGAAAAGAAAGGAGCCATAAATCAACTGATGTTCTTAAAACACTGTAAGTCACTGTGACATCAAACCCTTTAGAACAGCCAGTCTGAAACACGCTCCTTCCCCCGAGCTGGGGTGCAGCGCTTCACAGAGCCAGCCTTCCTCAGACACCACCATCATCAGACAATGGGTCCTGCTACTGGCAGCAGCTGCAACAGCTCAGTGCCAGGCCATGCACCGTCAGCACGCTATACAGTAGCCACCAAAAAGCGGTGCACTAGAAACCCCAATTTCACACCACCAGAGCTGGGTGATGGATAACGTTTTCTGTAGGTGGAGACGTTATTCAGATGGACATCACACACTTCAAAATCAAAATCTGAGTGTGTCTTTGGAAGGGTTCTGCAGATTCCCCTTAGGAATGGAAAACACAAGAGAGAGGCAGAAGAACACCACCGAGAGCTCAGTGCAAGCAGAGCGCGATTTAACACTCCCTGCTGCGCAGCTCTCGGTTCGCTGCATGGCTCTGCTGTGTCCCAGCGGGATACACGAGGGAAGGCAGAAAACAAGCACCCTACCAAAACAAATCACTCCACTGCACCCTCTTCTCCTTTCGAAGGGAGAACATAAAGGACCACCAGCATGTGCACTGGTATTAGTCATGTTCCTTATGGCATCACTGCAAAGTGCCAGGAGACCTTGCCAAGAGAACAGCTCAACTCAAACTTCAGCTTCTTCACAGCAAACTAAAGCAAAGTGAAATACTCGGTGAGAGTTTTAAATCATCCACAGGGAAGGAGAACAATGGGCAGAACTCTTCCCAGCTCAGTGCTTTGTCTATTTTAAAAATCAAACAAACCAGGGCAATTCAATTATTTCTTCAAATCAGTATCATACCGATTTTCAAGAACTGCCTAATGAATTTGTGGTGGGTTTCATCTTCACATTTTTGAAGAAATCTTTTAGTAAGATAATATGAATAAAGAACATGGAGCAGAAACCAAAAACACAAATGCCTTCTCCCAAGGGGAAGACGACAAGCAGTGCAGGGGCAGCAGTGCGGCTCTGGAGTGCCAGCACAGTTATCCTCGCAAACCCAGCCTAGAGCGTATGGACCATTTCAGAGCGTTCACTGTGTCACCACAAGAGGACGGAAAACCTCGGAATTTTCATGTAGCCTATCAAACAGAGGGCAGCTCTAACAGTGATTTTGTCTGAGTAATCTCTGCATTCTTAGGACTCCACGTATTATGCAAAATCCAGTAAGCAGCAGTGTCTTTAAACCACAAACGATACTCATAAGATATGACTGGCAACTCCCACAGGAAAAGCCATGTATTGTTGCTAGCACTCAGGCCACCTAGCTTATCCCCTTGCCATCTCCACATGGGACCACTTGGGTATCTCTCTGCATTCCCACTATCTGGCCTGGGACTTACTTGATTCCAGGAGGCGCTCCAGCTCTTCGGGGGAAACAAACTTTTCCCACTCATGTGTTCCTTCTGGTACAATGCCCATTATTTTTTCTGCGACCACAATTCCCAGGACATAGGACAACTGCGTTTTATTGATTGTAGTAATGAATAAAGAACCTTCAGGCTAATTAAAAGATTAAAGCGTTCAATTAGAAGAATATTTAATGTTTTTTAAAAATTGTAAATTTAATTGCATTAAAACACAAAATCTGTCTATCTACAAGTCTACATACTGCAAGAGTAAGAACTAATTTCGTATCAGGGTAGGTATTTACAAATATACCACTTAAATACAATAAAGAATATAATGTTCTAACAGTATGACTCAGTAGTCCTCGAACAGTCAACATAATCAAAGTCTTGGATGGTCTGATAACCATTTCCTCACCCAAAAAACATCTAACAAAGTCACTGATAACGTAACATTGCCCAGGAAACAGATAAATAAAAGGTATTAAGGCATATACAATGCCTATTGCAAATTTAATTAATTAGATTTTATTTTTTAAATTAAAACCAAAGCAAAATGTGCAATACTGCCTGATTTTTGAGGCTGCTGAATGCCGTGCTTGTTTTACTGATCACAGGGTCAAAAAACAAAACCAGAAGTGAATTCCAAGTACTTAAGAGACTGTTTGGTAGAAACAAAGGATAATTCCTATGTCTCCAGCAGGCTGAAAATTAGTTAAGCGTTCCATTCAAATAATCTATATTCCTTCTGATGACCAGAAAGACAAATGAAGAGATTACGAGAAAGCCGCTGCCTCTGTACTGCGCCCACCATCCTTCTTTACCAGTGAAATAATACCAAGAGGAGTAAAACCACACGCGATTGTCTCCAAGCGTAACGATGACCCCTTAAAAGCAATCCAGGAGCACATCTGATGTGATGCTAGAGCTGGAATAGAGTCTTGCGAGTCAGAAACATTGTGACAGTCCGTGCCCACGCAGGGAGCCCACAGCCTCCATCAATAGCAGCACTGCCATGTTTTCTCTCACCAGGTGAAATCAGACACAGCCCAATTTCTTAAGGGGGGTGATGCAAAGCAACGCTGCAATGCTAGGTGATGCCATTAGCACTTCTCTAAGGCAGGGTTGGGGAAATACACTTCCTCTTTAGTTACTGAAGCCAGGAAGATGTACTTGCATCATGGAGGAGAATGGAGGGCACCTCTGGAGCGAGCCTCAGACCTCAAGCACTTCGAGGTGGAAGGATGAATGCAGATTTAGATGTTTTCACGTGCCTTCAGATGAAAGCCTTGATAATAACAAATATTCCCAGTAATGAAAGCAAAAGCTCTCTTACCTTTAACACCTGAGAGCAACACTTGATAAACACTTCAAGGTCAGCCACATGCTCCACTACTTCAGAAGCTACGATTACATCGAAGGTTTCCACAGACTCCTCCACAATCTCCTCCAGTGAACTGGACTTGTACTGTATTCTCTTGGCCAGGATGGGATCAAATGACTTGTGCTGATCTGCTGTTCTGATGTTGTCCTCCAGAGGATCAATTCCAGTAACCAAAGCTCCCAATCTACCTAAAGGCTAATAATACAGAGCATAATTTATTCTCTGCATGAAAACAATTTACTTAAAGGTGTCTGCCACTTTACAACATACATACACGAAGCTGAAAACATCCATCAGAGAACAAGACAAACGCCAGCAAATTATGAGCTCTGATCCAGCAATTTTATTATAAATATTTATTAAAGCAAGAAAACCCTTAGATTTGGGGGAGGTGGTGTTAATTTGCTTAGAAAATTATATACTGGAATAGACACATTTAAATCGTCTTTTAGAATAAATTGTTCTGAATCCATTTTGTTACACCAAATAAAGAATTCCTCCGCTATTACTCTCTGATAGAGGAAAAACAAAAGGGGAAAATCAACACAGTACTTAAAGGGGGAAAAACAATGCCGTATTTAATTACTGTCATTACTTTCTTCGACATCCACCTGTAATGGTAAATCCTCATATCTTTTTAATGGTTACTTAATATATGAGTATCTCTGGGACTTTCTCACTGCTGAGAACTAAACACTGATGTTTACTAGGATAGCATCAGGCTTGGCTGTCACTCAAATTTCTCCAGTGTCTTCTTACTCATAGGTTAACACCTCAGCCATCACCTCTTTTGAAACTGAAACAGGCTGCAGAACATGACCACATGTATGTTATTCCAACCTGAAATTCACCGGTGGCTCAGCCTGAGAAGGTGACACAGCACACCAGTCCTGCCAGCCTCGTCGGAGAGCAGGCTCTCACAAGACTACAGGATTTTGCTCAGAATAAAAGAAAAAACAAAACAAAACAAAAACATGGGGAGAGATTCAGGTCCCTTTGCAACACCTCGTTTCAGATGCTGGTGAAGTTCCCAGAGTAAGTCAGCCAGATCTGCAACCCTAGATTCACAAACCATCCCCAGCCTATCGATCGGACACAGTGCTGTTCAGAGCCTGGGCAACCAAGGGGTTCCACCACAAACAGCTACTTCCCAGTCCCAAGGGTGCACAGACTCCTCGGGAAGCAGCTGGAACGCCAGCCCCCGCACCAGGAGAATCTCTCCTGACAGAGGGGAGGTATGTCTCCGGTGTTTGACATTATTCCGTGCTTTTCCCATGAGATCAAAGCAAAGGCGAGAATCCCCACCCCCAACATACAACAGTGAAGATAAGCCACTCCAAGAAACGAACGTGTAAGAACAAGTTCATAACAGAAAATACTTCTTTGGCAATGAGGATTCTCACGATTAAAGTATTCTTGCCTAGGCTCGTAAATTAAAAAAAAGAAAAAAAAAAAAAGAGGAAAACGAGTTGTCATACTGTGACTGCCCAGAGGAATCACAGAATCAGAGAATCAGAGGTTGGAAAAGACCTCTAAGATCATCAGGTTCAACCGTCACCGCAACACCACCACGCCTACTAAACCATAACCACTATTATTTCATAGAATCATAGGCTGGAAAAGGAATACTCAAAGGCTTTTACATCATTCTTCCCCTCTCCTTTTCTTTACAGTGTTTGAAACCTTATTTTTCTGATGAACCTCAGAATTTTGGCATTTCCCATTACCAATTCCATACTTTTCTGTAAACCACCACCACTGTGCCATCCAAATACTCTACGGGGTTAGTAGAACGCACTGCACTCCAAAACATTCGGTAACTGATGTACCTCATAAGAGAAAAGCTCCTCCTTCGAGGATTAGGTATTAGGCAGTGTAACAGTACAACAGATTCAAACATTTTGTACGCTTTTTAACACAGGAAACCGGAGCACACCATTCCTTACTTCACTCAGCAGTCCACCACCACAGCCAACGTCGAGAATCTTTACTCCAGAAAGCGGGTTTCCCGGATGATAACTGCCACTCCTGTTCAGCAGAGTGTCTCTGGAAGAAAAGGGATGCGACTAAGGGCAAGCACACACAGCGGCTGAAGAGACGCACCGTGCAGTTATCCTAAGTACTGGTAAGCGTTTTTCTTCCCCAATGTTTTCTGAGGTTGTGCAGAAACAGTACCTACAAAAAAGTCTGTCTCCAAAAGCATACCTAATAAACGGCACTCTAATATCATTCATAGAATGAAGGGCTGAATATTCTCCTTCTTCATCCCACCACTTATGCGCGAGGAGCTGGAATTTTTTCATCTCCTTTGAATCCACTGATGAGCGAGAAGCGCTGAAAAGTCTCTTCATGGTGAACCTAAATAACGAAAGCTGAATGTCATGAAACCAATAAATACCGGCATTTCACGTCAGCTGAAACATGGGGGAAAAGAAATTCCGCAAGATCAGAAAATGAACAACAAAAAAGATAAACCTCACGATCCTTTAGAGATTCTAGTTACGCTTAAACAGAACAAGCTGATTTTATGCCCTGTATGTAGAGCGTATCTTCCAAAACAGATGGCTGCACACCTGTAGTTTTTAAGGTATTAATTAGTAAAAAACAGGCCACAGCAAACATTAAAATATTTCTGAGATTTAAAAGTGACTTCACGTGACGCCGTCACAAAGTAAAATCAAACTGCTACAGAAAGTGATGGTCCTCGTCACACCGAATGATTTTAGCTGCGATGCTTACACGCTGCTCGTTGCTCCAGGCAGAGAGACAGGCAGAGCAGTGCTGGGTTTCAGGCGCACCTCCGGGCCGTGGCCCTGCAGGGCACCCCCCAGGCCTGTCCGGAAGGACACACCGGCGCGGTCACCTGCGCAAATAAAGGCAAGGCAGCCGAACGGAGAAGATCAGCTTTATGAGAGGCCAAAGACAGAAACCCTGGATTAACGTGCGGGTTTAGGCCGCAGCGGGCGATGGGGGAATC